AAAGTGAGGAAGCTCTTAAGAAAGGGAGGAGGTATCAAACATTTGTTTATTTACATACCTGATGTTGAAAGTTATCAGATCAACTTCAGGAGCATGGAGTTCAAATGTATGCTAACTGACCTGGGAGAAAGTATCATCTCACAATCATTTGCTCTTCTGAAAGGAGAAGTAATGAAAAGCAGACTCTGCATGTGACACGGAAAAGGAGGAGAAATTAGGAAGTAATATTCAATTATAGGAGCCTTTTGCCAAGACCATCTTGATTTCATGTTCTGACAATTTCAGTTTAGCCTTATCGGGCAAAAGATTCAGAAAAAGGTCACATCAAACATGGGTGCCCACCATCCGATCCTGGAATTTGTGTAAGTGACAAAAATACTCAGATCTTTATTGGAACAGATCCATCTTTGGGGTCTGCTCATGTTGACAGCCCCAGGACAGAGCTTGAGGCCAATGCAGATGAGAGGAGAGGTTGCACAGACCCTGGGGAACCCCAGAAAACCCAACACCCCCTGTCACCGCTGTGCAGCCAAAGAACTGACCTGGAGCACCCTACACCATTTTGTGTCTATTCCTGCCAACTGAGTTCTCTCTTTGCTATTTCTGTGTGACCCAAATGCAATTTCTTTTCTGTGCCCCCCAGCTCATCCATTTTATTCCTTACTGAAACTGCCCCATGGAAGAGTTGGAATAAATATAGCGAACAGGAGACTGGAGTAGAAGGCATCCCACTGCCATTTGGAACTCCCCAGGGCTTTGTATATCCCGCTTCGATACTGCAGCATGTCTTCCCAGTGCCCGAACTCGATCCCTGGGGTGACACCACCCTTAGCTGTGTTTGTGCAGCTTCTCAGGAATGAGGTTCTAAAGCCATCTGCCCTGCCCCAGATAGTGTCTGCAGAGGCCAGTAGTTCATACCTAGACTGCTCATGTCAGGTGGTGTCATCCCTCTGATGAGGGTCTGCAGCTGGTGGTGCACCAGAAAGTAGTTGATCAGGACCCAACTCACACGGTAGTGGCTGAAGATGATCCCGACTGGTGCTGCCGAGCCAGCACCATAGCAGCTAGCTGTATCTACGCAGAAGCTTGACATGGCAGCGCTGAAACACCAGCAGCAGGCAGTGGTGCAGGTGTGCTGGAGGCAGGAGCAGCAATCAGGCGGTGGACACCTCTGAGGTGACTGGGCACAGTCCAGCAGTGCTGGTCAGATGGTGGCAATGTGGAGGATCAGACACCAGTATACAGCTCGAGGGGGCACTGGACACTGGCCACCCCTGCCAGCCAGCAGCCAATGTAAAGGAGAACTCATGTTAATTAATTTCAGACTTACTATAGTGTGACCGCAGAAAGAGGACAGAATAAAGATTGATGGAAAAGCAAAAGTACAGAAATAGAACTACACTTACATGGTCAACTCATTTTCGACAACAGTTTCTTACTGAAACTTTTTTTCTCATTTTTTTTTATTATTCTAGGTCTTCTGTATTTCTGTATAAGTTTTATAATCAGCCAATTTCTATTAAAAAGTCTGCTGGGACTTTGTGTTGAATTTATAGATCAAATGTGAGAAGAAGTGACACAATAATAGATTATTTTCTGGCCTTTGAACATATCTCCCTTTATTTAGATGGTCCTTTAAAATCTCCCATGGTGGCCTTTTTCTTTTAATTTTCATGTAGAGGTATTGCATGTATTTTGTAAAATATAACAATTCATATTTTTGATGTTATTGCAATGACAACATAATTTCAAGCTCTAGTTGTAAATTGCTAGAATATAGAAGTACAGCTGTTTTCTATATATTAAAATCCTGTTTCTTGTGGCTTTGCTTAATTTGCCTAAGTCTTAATAGCTTTATTATATACTCCTTAGGATTTTCATGTCTTTTGGATAAAGACAGATTTAATTATGGCTTTCCATTTTTTACACCTTCACTTATTTTTCTTGCTTTATTGCTCTGGCTGGAATCTGTAGTATGGAATCGGTTTGAATAGAAGTGGTAATAACAGACATCCTTATCTTCTTTCTGGTCTTAAGGGGAAAACATTGAATATTTTTATTGTTAAACATGATGTTAAAGGAGGTTTTTGTTTGTAGACCTTCTGTAGGGAGGTAAGGATTTTTAACCAGCTATACTATATTGCAACGCAGAGGTTTTTGAGGATTTTCTAGAAAAGGTGGAGTGAATATGGGCATTCAGTGAAGAGGAAGCCGGCAGGAACTTCTTTACGAGTTCAACTGTGTCCTAACTACGTGATGATTTATTAGGCAATTAGCATGTATTTCTCTCAGAGGATTTAAGTATGGGGTGTGGCTTACATTAAACTATGTCTGACAATGCATCTTTATAAACTGTGTATTTGGGAGGGGTAGATGTGCCATAGAACTAACTCCATCAGTCCATTGGGAGGCAGTGTAACCTGTGACTAGAAACACAGGCTCAGAAACCTGGTACCCAATCCAAACCCAGATCTGTAACCACAAGCAGGTTTCTCAACCTTCTTGTCACAATTTTCCACCAGTACAAAGAAGATATCAAATGGTATCAAAATACTTACCTCCAGGGCTTCTGAAGACTTAGTGAGCAAATGTATAAAGGGCTTAAAATAATGTTGGTTGTCTGATGCATTTTAAGGTTTTAGTTTGCATTTAGCTAATTTATCACAAGCTTTGGGTAGCAAGTTTACTGTGTAAAGAACAGCCATACAGTTAAAAAAGGAAATTCTCTTTCCTTACGGCTTGTGGTAAAGTTTTGTAAAGATGGAAGAGTCAGATATTATATTTCTAATGTTTTTCAATATTGTATGATAAATTAATTTTAAAATGTTACACAAATGTTAGACAATTATCAGCAGGATTACAATTGTGGGCAGTTGTGTTCTGGAATTAGCACTGAGTCTATAATGGGAAATCAAACCAGAGTTTGATTTTCAGATCTGTTCATTTTGATCACTTGAAGTGTGAACCCACAAACTGCTCCTGGGATACCCCATCTGGGCATGTGGACCACTGTGTAGCTCCCAATTAGTTTTAATCTATTAGGTCCTGAAAATAAACTAATTCCTGGGGACAGAAGCGTCCCAGTCATTTACTTTCCTAGGTCTCTGCCCCACCACAGATGTCTGTCAACATGGTCCAAATCTTGGCGCTTTCCGTTGCTGGTGGATAAAGCATGCCAGCTTTCCTGTGTGGGCAGTAGTGGATGAGGAGACACTGACCAGCAGGGAGCAGGTCTATCGAGGTGCCTAATTGCTGCAGCAGTTAGGAGCTGATTGGCAGGCCCTCAGGGGGCTTTCCACTCACTGGAACTTGCTTTATCCCTTTGCCTCATATGTTTTGAGATGTGCAGTCATAGCAAGTTTTGCAAATGTCCTTCTGCAAAGTTTTTCTTATCTAAGTCAAGTAGGTTCTTTGTTGCCCTACCAGCTGTCTGTCTCTAGTTTTCTCTAGATCAGACCAGTGGAAAACTTACTTTCCACAATGAATTTTAAGAACATTTTAAAATCCACTCAATTCTATTTGGACATAGCTACACAGTATTTTATTGTTTCTCCTTCCTGTGTAATGTGGGGAACAGCTAGAGCATTTTTAGGGAAGCCTGACCAACAAGCGATAGGGGTGCGATAGGGGTGGAGGGTGTGTTTCAGAACCCCCTTCCCCAGCTTCAGGGAGTGTTTGGCCAGCTCTTGTTCTTCCCTCTGCCAAAGATGTTTCACAGGCTCTTCCGTGAGAGTTGTGTGCCTTCACCACACCTTTTCTGTGGTAGCTCTGTCACCAGTGTGGAAAGAGATTGAATGAAGGAGGAGCCAGATACTATCTTCTCTCTCGGCTGACATGAGATGCCCCAGTTAGGTGGGGACCCCAAGGCACACGTGACATGGTCCTCCATGCTATGCCTGCTGCCCCAGGTGATGATGCTGAATTATACATGGGAAGAGACTTTTCACAGTGTTGTTTTTCCACTGGAGCACAAAGCACTTGTACAGTAAGGGTTTCACAAAGCAGGTCCTCCAGGCCCTGCAGGAAACCAGGAAGCTGCAGGAAGCAACTTACCTCCCAACCAGAGTGCTCAGGATGTGCGTTTGAGACAAATGGGAAGCAGATACAGAAGCTAACTTTCTATTTGAGTGTTATTTCTTTGAACAAAGAACATTGCTAAAAGCTTAAATATCAAACTGTTGTGTTTCGAAACAAAAAAGGCAAGAAGAAACAAAAGTCAGAAGTGCCAAATTTAACACTTCTGGTCAGATAAGAATCTGCCTTTAGCGCCACCTGAAAGATGGTAACGGCTTCGTGAGACGGGTCCTTCTCTGCTGTGTGTTGTCTTCATCCTCGTTTTCTTTTTGTTTTATTTCCCTACTGCCTTCCAGCTGAAACCCCAAAGGATAAAGGGGAAAAGTTCCCTTCGATAGAGTGATTCAAAGACCATCTTACACAGAGTGGATTCCCCAGTCGCCGCTTGTTAGATGAATCCATGAAAACGTACCCGGAGCCCAGCCTCCATGTTTCTCACACACATCAGGTGTGGCCACCACCACATATTGCTTCTGGAGCTGTAACAGGCACTCCAGAAACAATTTGAAAATAAACTGAAGCACCTGACTACAAAGGAGAGAAGGAGGGAGGGAAGGAGCAGGTGAATTTGTAGCTGATTAGATTTGAGCCGTTCTTTATGGCATTTAGGCTTCTTCTAGCCGTCAGAAACTGGTTAAAACAGCTCACTTAGTGTGCACTTGTTCTCCCCTTCAAACGCATGTGACCTCTCCAAAGAATCAGCAGTGGGTAGTGGTCATGTCTGCTTTGTGTGAGGAATTAACATCAACTGGACTCCCAGTATGTTTATGGCATTTTTTTCATCGAGTGAATAGCTTCTGCAGTCACAGAAGCCAACCTACAACATCAGGTGTTGAAAACAGGCATATTTGCCATTTGTCTAGTTACCAAGTCCCATCTCCACGCAGAATAGCACCAGCGGTGACCTTTTTCTTTCCATTTGACAGGTGATGACCAAGAAGGAGGATTTTTTCAGTGCTTGGAACTCATGTCTTCACCACATCGCCACCCTGTCTCTGGCACACATTCACAGAGGTCAGTGGTTTTTGTTGCATATTCATGACTGAGTGTCTCAGAGTTCTGCAGATTATCTGGGACTCTGAGTCAGCAGAGAGAGTCAGCAGACAGTTCCCATTCTAGCCTGTGGAGTCTAAAGCACCCAGTAACTTAGACTTGAAACTTGTAAGTAAAACCCTAACTTATTCAGAACACTGAGCCAGCGAGACACAGTAAGCCCAGTGTTGGAATAATACACATAATTTGGGCACCAGCTGACAGAGCTCTGGCCCCTTGGCAGTGGCCAACAGAGGTGGCCCTTCTGCAATACACAAACTTGAGGTGTGGACACAGATGTACACAGATCACAGAAGGATACATTAATAGGATCACTGCCTAAAGAATTTCAGGGATCAGGACTGATTATGGAAACCACTCTCCAAATTAGCAAGAATCTGGTTGCAGTTCAGGCTTTAAAAGCTATGCTCTCAGCCAGTGGCACCATGCCCTGGTTGTCCTCTAGGGTCACTGGATGGCATTTGAAAACACTTTGGGTTGTCACCACCAAGCAGGAGTTGCTAGTGGGTAGAGGCCAGGGGCGCTGGGAAACCTCCTGCTGTGAACTGGACAACCTCCAAAATGGAAATCTTGTCCAAAATGTCAGTAGTGCTGAGGTGAGAACCCTTGAATTTTCATTTTGGCTTTGAAAGACCAACATCACTTAAAAAAAAAAAGTAAGATCATTGTATATGTAGCCCAGCATTATTCACAGAGTTGTTTCTAATCTCAAGAACTGTGAGATTGTTCATCATCATGCCCTTCCTCCCTGTGGGGATCTTTTAACAGCAAAAGACCCTCACCCTGCTTCTTTGTGTGCAGAGTTTTCAACATGTCAGACTCACCACTGGCTCCTGGGTTGGTCGCCTCCACAGCCCTGGGGCAGGCGTGTTCTGTCCTATCACCTCTGAGTGGAATTAGTTGGTGGGGTTTCTTAAGAGCCAAGCTGGCAACCTAGGAATACTTGCCTCCCACCATCCTCCCCATCTGCCTATCTCCTCTCCCCCCAATCAAACAATTCCAGGAATGCCTATTAACACATTATTCATTGTTGTGGGGACACCAGGACCTCCTTCATCGCTGACAAATACTGGATGGGGTGCAGCATGGCCTCCTGCCTCTCTCTTCCAGCCCAGGGGTCCTTGGGTGAGCCTCACGACATGGGGTTCAAAAGTTGGAACTGGAAAGAGAAAGTCAGACATGTGCCAAGACCACAGGTTTCTCTTGGGGTTGGGAGCCCACAGGAGCACCAGTCCAGGGCTAACTCTTTGGGCTGCCATGACCACACCCAGTAATAACCACTTAGCATTCTGGAAGCTGATTGGCTTCCACCGTCCTCCCTGACAGGGCCAGGAGGACTCAGGACAACAGCCCAGAAGGTCAGGAAAAGTGCCCTCTGCACAGATTATTAGGGGACATGATTGTGGACCCTAGTGTACACAGCCCCATATTTGAATTTGTCTGCACACCCAGCATGTGGGAGTGTTGTGCCAGCAAGCACAGGGCAGGTTCTATCAAATCGGGCAGATGGATAAAGGAGTGTCCTGGAGTTCTACACCAGTTGTTGTGGGGCAAGGCCATAGGCTGGCAACACAGGGAGGCCAGGGATCCAGGAGGCAAATCTTTGAGCTCTGATGTTGTTTCATGGTCTCTTCTTCTCCTACCTGTCACTTGTCCTCTTGTAGCCTTGTCCTGTTGTCTCTGAGTAACGCTGCCCCTCTATCCCTTATCTCTAGGCCCAGGCACATGCACGCACACAGCCATGCTCAGGTGTCCATAATTAGGCATGTGTGCCCCACACACTTCTTGCACCTTCTATATTAACATGATCGAGGCTGCAGGTGATAGCTGTACAGGCCAGTAGCATCAAAACCTGATCATCTTAATTTACTTTACAGTGAGGCTCATGGGAACTGACTTAACTTAATGGAACTCCAAAGTGATGGATAGGTAAACCAGCATGTCAGTTACTCATCACAAGTCAAAAGCCATCTGCTGAGTCACCTGTGCCTGCTCCGTTATCTTTGGGGCAGTCTCCAGACAGAATTTTAGCATGAGCAGAAAGCTGTGGCAGGTTGGGCTTCCTGGACAGCTGTAGGTGGGTGTTGGGTAAGAAGGCAGGGCCTGTGTGTCCACACTGACCTGCCAGTTGTGGAGACCTCTAGGGTGTCTGCTTCCTGGACAATCTTGGTGTGTAAACGACCTCTCTCCTGGTAGTGGATTGCTTTCTCAGATTTGTTGATTAGACTGAGACTTATCTGGGATATGAAACAACACTGTAACACCCCACTTGAAGGCGAGTCTGTCCCAAGCCTTCTTCTCATCCACATTGTGTAGCTCCATTTTCAGGCTTGCTGGGGTCCCTCCTGTATACTGACCACAGATATTGCCCTTTTTGGGACACAGGATGAACCATGTGGAATCCAGGTGAAAGCCTCTAAACATTCAGAGACAGCATTAAATTCAAAAGGGAGCAGCAGCAAAAATATCACAGCACATATGTCCTAACCTTAGAAATTCTAGTATGGCCCTCCCTGGTGGCGCAGCAGGTTAAAGCACAGCACTGAGAATCTAAAGCCGTTTCCTCATGAGTTCGATTCCTGCCTGCCCCGGAGGTGACCACATGGCGAGGCAGACCTCTCCTGACATGCCCGCTGCTCCCCCCAGCAGTGTACTTCGTCGATCTGCCTGTTCTGCTCCCCACTTTGTCTCTGGTGAGTCCTCTCGCCCCCCTGAGCCTCTGGCCTGTACCCCAGGTCTGTATGCGCAAGTAAATAGATCTTAAAAAAAGAAAGAAAGAAATACTACTATGAGCTGAGACTCATGCCACATTGAGAGCTTGATTTGGGGGTTGCTGAGAATGTGGGCACCAGCATCAGGTTATTGGAATTCAGAGGTGTTATTTACTCCTACCAGCTGTGTGGCCGATTGAGTTAATCAGCTTCAATGAATTTTAGCCTCATCCTCACTTATGAAATGTAGATAACATGATATTTACCTCATGGACAGTTGAGAAGATACTTGGAATCCCCTATGTTTGCTCCATAGTTCATGTTCAATATTTTTTATTACTATTGCTATTAATTACTTGTCTACAAAAACCTTAGTTCCCATAACCAAAATGGAACTTTTAGATCCTGTTCCTTAGGAGGAAGAAAAAGAGAAAGAATAAACAGGTTAGGTTCTGGTGTGTGAAATCTTAACACTAAGAAGAAACTTCAAGGATTTGCTGTTGCACAAAAGAAATCCAAATCGATTCTGAACCTTTTATGGTTAATAACCACAGAAGCAAAATGATTCTTTTCAGGAAACTGCCTTGGGTTCAATGTCAGATGAAGAGGTTTGGACTGTATTAAGTAACAGGAGAAAAATAATATGAATTAGCTGAATGAAAGCATCTAGAAATCCTGGGACTGCTCTGAAGCAGCGAAGTACATCCATAATGAGGCTTGCACAGATAGCAGAATGGGTCCTAACGATGAGAACATACTGAGCTCTCGCTACCCAGGAAACATGTAGTCAGCGAGTCATCACATTCAAGTAGTGTGCTACCCTGCGGCAAAGGCCTCCAGGGATGGCAGGAGATGTCAAGGAGCCCATCTGTCTTCAGTGACCGGGTCCAGATGTTGCCTTTGGAGACTTTTGAAGGAAGAGCACACAGGAAGAAGGGAATGATCTGTGTGCAAAAGCACAGCCCTTAACGTCACCCCAGATGAAAACGAACTCAGAACCTAGCCATTTTTATTAGGAACAAATTGAAAAAAGCCTTCTGGCATCAGTATCCGTTTGTCACCTGCAGACTCGGGAAAACCATGTTTGAAATAAAAATGTTAAGCAGTCTCTAGTGGTTTCTGAAGTGGGATGTAACCATTACAATGATAAATTATTATTTTTCAATGATACACATTTTTATCTTGCCCTAGAAATAGCAGTTCTGAAGCATGGTGCTCTCTGAACCCCTAAGGGTGTACCAATTCCTTTCTCTCCAAAAAAGGAGAAACTAAGCACTTTTATTAAATAAATTACATGTACTGTTCTGCTCCACACAGAACTGTCTTTTCATTTTCTCTTTTTCAAAATTTAAAAGTAGTTCTCATTAAGTGCAGGAGGCCCCTTTTCTGGTTCTTAATAAAGTGACTAATAATTTAGAATGTTCCCATGAAGAACAGGTTGTAATTATAATTAGGACATATAAATAGTGTGGATTTCTGCCTGTTGGAGGATGAATTTCAGACTCCTCTCAAGATGTATTTGTTTCCAAACAAGAACTTCCTATGTTAATAAAAATGTGGCTGCAAGCATTATTAATCCATTATTTCTGGATTCTATCCATGAGTGCTTGTTTGAATATTCTTCACAGGATCAGCATTTTCCTCCTTGTTGTTAATGGGGCTATCCTTTATACCAACTACATTCACCTTGATTTAGTTGTAGCTTTGGCATTCATCTTCTAGGAAATTATGGGAATATACTTCCTACTACCTTGAATGTATGTACAGCACAGTATGCAAGCTCAGAAAAACGAAATGCCACACTCATCTCAGTCCTGTGTGTTTCGGTACTTTTCACTCCCTTACATGCTACTGCAAAAGTCCCCCGATTTGGCGGGTGGAGCCAGAAGCCAAAAGTCAACACATCTTATTTTTTTTTTGAATAACTGGATTCTGTAGTGTTTTGCTGTTACTGCTGGAGGTGGAGGTCTGGCAGGTGGGGAAGGTGAGAACCACAGGTACCTTATTGGCTGTGACACCTGTGGGTGCCTTCCTCGCTGGCACCCTCTGCTGGGTGGGGCTGGCTTAAGTGCAGGCCCAGTGGGTTCTGAGTGGATGGTCCGAGGGAGGGAGGAAGGAACTTCTGGGGTACTGCCCCTGCAGCTGCTCCCCCTATCTAACGCCCATTAATTATGTGTGTGGTAGAAGCAGGTGAAGTGGCTGGGGGTGGGGGTCATCAACATCCTGACAGATGAAACCTCGAGAAATGTC